AACCCTAGTAAGACAGGGACTACTTCACATAACACCTGTAATGCAGTGAAGGTGAGAGGGGTGAGCAGCTGACCCTTGGTTTTGGAGAGCTACTTGAGGTTTTCTTCAGGAGACTTCAGGCAAGTCTCTGCCCATTTTATATTTTTCTAAATATTTCTTAATTATGTCTGGGGCTAAAATTCCTGTTACATGAGATGCTGCTTTTGGTGACTTAAGCTTCATGCCCCTGAGCAAAATGTGTGCTTCTAGGGTTTGCTGTTTTCAGCTTTGCAGTCATGAAGTATTTATTTTCAAGCATCATCCAAAAGTTTGGAGGGTGCTTTCTCCTCACCTTAGCTGGGATGACATCGTGGAAGGAGTAGAGAAAAATAGGAGGCTGTTTTCCCTCAACAAATGTATGAGAACTCTGGAATGAGCCGAGGATGGAAAGATAGGAGCTCCTAAACTCAAATTCTTTCTCTGTTATTGATTTTCGTGGTGGCTCTGAGTAAATCCATTAAAATGTCTGTGCATTGGTTTCCTCATATATAAATCAAAATGCCAAGTTCTCTGACAGGAACAGCAACAACATTACACATAAAAACTGAAGCTAAAATTGCCATCTGGCTTTTCTGAAGAGGCAGTATAGCTGTATACTGTATGGGATGACCCTGGGGTCTTTACCTCTCCAGGAGACCTGAGACTAAGCAAGCTCTGAGGTTTCTTCAGGGACGAGTGGAGCCAGGAACTTGGCTTAGGTACTTGTTTGCTGTGCTTTCTGCTCCTGCACTCAGCCTCTGATGTGTTCTGATGACTGGTTTGGGTTTTAAACAGATCTGAGACTTGTAAAACTGGCTTTGCAGTGTGGTGGTGATAGTAACTGCTTCATGTGCTGGGTGTATCTGCTAGGGTTTGATCAGAAAAGGGTAACATTTTCCCATTAAAGTGATAGGTGACTCCATTCATTCAAGGAAAATATCCATGTTAGTTTGAAGATTCTGAGTTTTGCTTCTATTCAGTTGATTTTTTTGCATCTTGAATATGTGAAGGTTTAAGTCCAGGTGTGGACTTAAATCCCAGCTACTGCAGAAATTTAGTTATGTGAATGAATTGGGAAGTAAATAATGGATTTAGATTAATACTAACAAGAGGAATGGAAGATTTGACTATTTATATGTGCTGACAGATTTTTGTATATTTAGTGTTAACTGAGTTAAAAATTAAATCTTGCAAATAATGTAAAAATTCAAACATATCCCAAATATGTCTTAAGTAAATGTTATTTTATGCAGTTGCATTGCTGCACTTGAATAACTAGATCATCAATTCAGTTAGATATCACTGACTATATATGGGGTTTCATATACCAGAAAAATCAGGGTTTGATTTATTACTTCAAGTAAGGATCCCTGTTGACTTCAAGCTGGATCTTAAGGTTAGCTCGTGTGTTGCTGTGCAGAAGCTGCTTGGTACACTACCACTATTTAAGGAATACAGAAGATAAAATATCACAGTGCAATCTGTGGAACCTTCAAAACTGTACAGCACAAGGGTCATGGACTAACAAATCAAGTGGTTCACTGCTCTGTGGTCTTCCAGGTATCACCAGACCGTGTCTGAAAGCATAAAGAAATATTGGGAGACCTGCAGGCTACTCAGGGCCTTTTCTCCTCATTCATTTTGGAAAGAACCTATATCCCTTTCCCCCTCCATGTTCTCTGGTAATTTTCAGGTGCTTTTTGATCACAGCAATGGTGTATGTCAGAGCATCCTAACAGCTGTGACAGTATGGACAGGCCATGCTTGGTAAGAAGCCTTTCATGTGGCATGACAGAGGCTACTGTGCTGTAGCTTGGGGGATACACAGTCAAGCTCTTTAGTGCACATATTAGGATCTGACTGCTGAAGCCTTTCATGAGACTGCTAAACCACATGACCACTGGTAAACAGTTGAGGAATCAGCAATTTGGAAAATACAGTCTTAGAAAGTGTGTTGACCTTCAGAGTTGAGTTTCTGAGATGTGGCATGGACGGGAATGAACTTTGATTTCACAGTGAACCCCAGAGATATTTTAGTGTGTGGTGATCTGCAAATTTGAATGTCTGCCTAGAGCAGACGCAGGAGGAAGAAAAACCCCATAACAATGCACGAAACAGAAATACCTGACATTCTCCCAAGAACAGGAAGGATACAAAGGTGGATAAAGTACAGAATCTCATCTATGACAAGGGTCAGCAGCAGATGACTGGAGCAAACAGGCAGATGACATAGCTGAGTGCATAGTTGAATGCACCCTGTATTAAAACCAGTGGTACAAATAGGAGTTATATATATCTTTGGATTTGCACTGCTCTATTTTGCTAAGTCTTCAGTGGTTGCCTTAAACTACTGTTTAGATCTCTAATCTACTCTTTGCCTTCTCCTTTTCTCAGTAGACTAGTGAGATTTCATCTAAGTGGTTGAGAAAGTGTAAATGAGTGCTATTAGTATTTCTTGTACTGAGTGAACAATCAACCCACCTATCCCCCTTCACAAATGTGTTCAGTGCTTTGTACATCTTTAGCTGTAGGGAAAAAGCTCACTCACATATTTGACTCCTGCCCTCAGACACTGGCTATTTGATGAAATTACCCCCAGGTACATGGAACATGTGTCTAACTTGCTTGTAACACGTTCTCTTCTGATGGATCAGGAGTGACTAGGCAGGGGATTTGTCAGTGTTAGGATAGGGTTGTTAAGTACTTGGCTCTGACTTCCAGAACTGCAGTCAGTAGCAGCCTGTGCTTAGGCTGGTTTAACACTGATACAAGCATCTACACTTGGTGGTGGTAGTTAAACATATTCAGAATAAGATCAAACAACCAGATAATTTGGAAGGGACCTCCAGGGCTGTGTAATCCAACCATTAGCTCAGAGAAGGTCCAGTTAGTTCAGGCAGCTCAGGACTCTGCCTAATCAAGTTTTTAGTATTGCTAAAGGTCTCTCTGGGCCCTTCCTACTGTTTGACCATCTTCAAGATGAAACCCTATTTTTTTTTAATAGAATGAGATTTTTTTGTATTCAGCTGCATCTGTTCCTTCTTATCCTTCTGCACAACTCTGAGAAGAATCTGACCCTGTCTTGTCTATGTTCTTCCATTAAGTCATTAAAGAGATCAGTAAGATTTCCCTTGAGTTGTCTCTCCTTGAGGCAGAAAGAACCCAGTTTCCTCAGCCTCTCCACACATATCAACTACCCCAGTACCTTGAGTATGGTGGTAGCTCTTTGTGGGACTGACTTGAGTATGTTGAAGTAATTTTTGTATGAGGGAGCTCAGTGCTAGACAGAGCAATCCTGATGTGGTCTCACAAGTGTCCATTAGGGGAAGAATCACTTCTCTTGGCCTGCTGACTGCATTCTTGCTAATATAGCCAAGGATGCAGCTGGCCTTTGCTGAAAGGGCAGGCACTGCTGACTTGTGCTCAGCTTGTCCACTGGGACCACAGGTTTTCTTCTGAAAAGCTGCTTTGGAGCTAATTGGCTCCCAACATGTGATGCTGTATGGAGTAATTTGGGTGGCTGCTTGCAGGAGTATCTGGACACATGGCTTACTTACTGAAGTACAAACACAAATTGCTTCTGCAAGAGTCTCTGCTTAAAGCAGACCTTTCACCTGAGAATGCTATGTTTACAGTTGCAATACTGTTCTGTTTAATCACAGATTTTACCATGTAGTTATTTTCCAAGAATGGCTATGACAACAAGTATTTTCCCTTCAGTCTTGAACTAATAAATTCTGGCTAATCTTTATTAGGATTGCTAAATGGGACAAAATGAAGCAGAAAAGTGCTATTAATGCCAATGGAAATAGCACCAGCATTTGCCTTACACAGTGATTTGTAAGCAAGGATAGCTTGACTGCTTGTACTATCTACTGCTCAGCCTTGCTTTCACAGCTGGGAGTCAGGAAGGTGCTGCAATATGGAATGGGAGGTGGGATCTATACAGACTCTATTGCAAGTACCATTTCCTTTCACCTGGCACTAGGCAGCCCTCCTCCAAGCCTTCCTATCACTCTTCTGTATTTCTTCCACTGGATAAAATTAGGGTATGCAGCTGGCTCAAGTCACATAAACACAATATTGCAGCAGAACTGGCTTTGAATGACTGGAAACCCAGGTACTAGGAAGTAGACCTCTACCTCACACAAAGGATTTTCATGGCATTCAAATGCTGCTTCCAGTTGCTGAGAAATAAATGCAGTGGCTTTCGTTGTTGTACATAAGAGATTTATTTTCTTTGTGAGGAAATATTAAATGTCATGTGCTGTGAATAATTCCCCAAGTTTATTTTTCCTGTTTGAAAAAGATGTGCTTATCTGGTACAGATTTTCTGGATAAGGTGATTAGACAGGCAAAGATGTGTTTACCAGGAACATTACTCATAGCTGTGGACAAAATGTTTTATGTGCACTTCCCCCATGCTCTCAGAGAAGGAATCTGTAGGATACCTCATGTGGCTCTCTCATTCAGTTGAGAGAAAGGGGCAGCTCTGTTAGGATTATATTCTGGTGTTTCTCTTAAATTTCCTGTCAGATAGGTTAAAATAAGTTCAGATGGCAGTATGCTGAATCTAAATACTGATCTTTGTGAAATGTTGGGACTTTTTTTGGTTGACACATATGTGGTGGTTGTGTTGTGAATAGTAGAGCTTTCCATCCTTCTCCTAAAAAGGATGTGAAATGTCTTATAACAGTCCTTAAATGTGCTTTTCCTAGACTTCACTGCATACTGTTGAATGGTCCCTATGGAGACAGTGCTGCAGTGAAACTAAAAACACAGCACTGAAATTGATCGCTACCGACAGCCCTGCACTTAATTCTCTTGGTAGCCATCTTACAAAAGGAGCTCTACAGTTATTAACGTGCCTTGATATTTAGCTCTACAGTTGACAGTGCCGTGGGATGCTTCAATTTCATGACAACCTTAAATCTCTTCTTGGCTGACTGCTGAATAGTTCTTTTGTTTCCCCTCCTTTCCAGCGCGAGATGAGAACATGGCCACTTTCCGTGGCTCCGAGTACCTGTGCTATGACCTGTCGCAGAACCCCATCCAGAGCAGCAGCGATGAGATCACGCTCTCCTTCAAGACGTGGCAACGCAACGGGCTCATTCTGCACACTGGCAAGTCGGCTGACTACGTCAACCTGGCCCTGAAAGATGGTGCTGTCTCCTTGGTCATTAACCTGGGGTCGGGGGCCTTTGAGGCCATTGTGGAGCCGGTCAATGGCAAGTTCAATGACAACGCGTGGCACGACGTTAAGGTGACACGCAACCTGCGGCAGGTAATGGTGAAGGGGAGAAAGCGCTGGGGAGAATTTTGTTTTGTTTTATTGGGACAGGCAGAAGGGAGAGAGTAATAGAGAAATGGGGAAGCTCAGTGCTGTTGTTAGTTTCTCCATCTATTCTGGATCTTGGTGCCTAAAGGACAGTGAAAAAAACATTAGTTGATGGGAATTTATCCCTTCTGCAGTATCTTCATTTCCACTTTATTAATTTTCTATTTTTTCCCAGTTTGATTTAATAATAAAAACTTGTGACATAACTTTACTTTCATCTACCTTTTCCTTTTTTCTTTTTCTGTTCTCCCTTTTAAATTTTATAATTTCCTTAATTATGATTCAATCTTATCAGTAATATTTTTGTTGCATTTAATTACTGGGGGAATAATGCTTATTGCCAAGAGCCAACATTTTACACCTCTCTCCTTTTTCTTTCAGTTTTGTTAATTGGTTTAACCATTGCCATGATGTTACAATCCTAATTCTGAAAATCTTTTGTTTTTCTTTTCCTTTTCTTTTCTGTGTGCATATGACTGTGCAGGCTGGTGGGTATGTGTATAATTATTTTAACTTTTTAGCTTTTGAATTAATTGGCTGGAGTCTCTCTGAGTCTTCTTGATTCTCTGTTCTTCTATCCTTTTTAATTTTTTCCCCCCTTCTTTCTATAATGAGATTCGACTTTATTTCTTGTCTCTGCCTTGAGACTCTTCTGTTTGCTGTGAGGACTGGAAAAGTGGAAGGATCAAAAAAACCCAAGCAAACTCAGATCAATCCAGCACCGTACAATTCCACATTGGAAAAGTTTTTCTGATTTTACCACTGTAATTTTGCACATCTACATGCTGCTTTTCCTAGCAAACAACTATATCAGGTGATGTATTTGGTAGTAGGCTAGTCTTAAAATCCTGAAGCCTTTCTCATGAAATATAAATTCAGACATAAATAGATAAGATAAAATTAAATAACTTTGCTCTGAAAGCTCGTAAATATATCAAGTCACTAAGGCCCATCCGCTGCATGATAAATGAGGTTTATTTGATGTCTGGCTGATTGGTAGAGGAGCAGAAATAGCTTGTAAACTAAGATTTAAAATTCAATTAAAAATCAATTTGTGAATACAGTGTGGCCTGTTTATTTTCTCAATAATGTCAATATTAACACAACCTTTAATAGCTTTATAAAAGATTATACAATGTAATTTATGGTAACATTTTACACTAGCTAAGAGCAAATGTGTCTGTGAGTACAGGATAATCAGTGCCAGGAATCAGAAAAAGTCTCTACTGGTAGATGTCAATGGATAATTTTTCTGTTATCAGGAATTAATGTCTTTCTTTTCAATATTTGGGTTTGGGACTGAAGATTTTTTTTGTCTTTCCCATGTAAATCCCTCTATTTCTACATGCTTAGGATGTCTGGGTCTGAAAAAAAAAAATCTGTCATCAAGCTTTCATGAGACTACAGAATTCTTACCTATGGAAAAAATAAATCTGTTTATATATTAAAATAAATCTGTTTATATATATATATGTTTATATATTTTTTCAAATAGTTTATATGCAGATGAAAATTTCATTTCTTATGCAGTGGATGGATCTTAATCATCCTATTTTGTTTAAACGTTCCCATCAATACAGTAGAAGGAAATGCACCAAGTGGTCTAGGTTTGTGAGTTTTGAAAGGTCAGAATATACAGCTTTATTTGATGTGGGGTTTTTTTTATTTTTTAGGTAGTTTCAGAACAGCTGGTCCTTGAATATCTCAGTAGAGCTCCTTGGCCATTTTAGTTAATCATACTTTTTATTTTTCATTTGAAATCAATTTCTGTGGGCAAATGTGCCAGAAGCAAAATTAATCCTTGCTTCTTGCCAGGATTGGTTTGGATCTTGAAGAAGGAGAAAGTGAAGGGTCACAAACAAAACTGTGCATGAGAAGCTGTCACATTCTTTTCTTAATATTTTAGCTCGTGGTTTTTTAACTGGTCCACAGAAGTGGACCGAGAAAATGGAAATCTGTCTATGCCTTCTCATATTTGATGAGACCAAGGCAGTACTTTGGCAATTATTAGAAAGCAGGTAGTCCTTTGCCAGTTTAGCAGCGCCATAAATTTTAAAGCCTCCTGATCTGTTCACTATGAATGTTTCTAATTCTTACAGGGTCTGACTTGACTGGGCAAGAGAGAGCATGTTTTAATGAGGTGGATGGGCTCTTTGCAAAGGAAGGCCTGTCTTCAAATAAAATTGCATTTAATTAGCAGTGGTGATTGGGAGTCCAGTTCTATAGTTAAACATGACAGAGTACAGTTAAACCAATGAATATCAGTAAGGCCGGATTTTCCCTTAGTCATTTTTTTCCCTTAGTCATTTTTTTCCCTGGATACTTGCATTTTAGCTTTTGATCTGTCTCAAAATTAAGACATTGACCCAGAGCCTAAAGCTGCCCAGATACTGGAATTGATAAGGCCTTGAGACGGAGCAGCCATGATAGTCCTAAATTTTGTCATCCAATATAGTTTTATATAACCTAAATAATTTTGTATGTAAAAGATTATCGGTTCTATATCTTTCCTGACATAAATTCACCTGTAATGTTGCAGTATAATATAGTTCACTAGACAGTCTTGTTTCCAGCTGTGCTCATGTTGCCTTAAAAAAAACCCATTCCAAAACCAAAAATAAAACCTCAACAAAATAAATTGCCTCTGAATGTTGAAGCTTTATAAGAAAATCAGTAGCCTCTTTGTAATTGGTTGAAAACATTGTACTGGAGGTAGATATATTTCTCTTTAAAATGTACTTTTAAAACAATAATTTAGAAATTCTAATAATATTATCTAAATCTAAGCAACTCCAGCTAAATGGTCTATCAGCAGCTTCAGGATACCATCTAATCTTTTTCTCTGTTTTTTTTGGAGGCTAAGAGAAAGGGGAGGAGGATTAGCATAATTTTTTGGCTGTTTCTAGAATTAGAGTGGAACTTTAAATAGTTGGACTTTTGCCCAGTACTTTTTGGAATTGTTAAATGTTTTGTAGCTAAGCTGAGAGAGTACTAAGGGGTTCTTTTTTTTAGATCAAATGACTATCACAGCAGTTAATCGCCTTAGAGCCAAACCAAGTGAATCCACAGATTCCCTTGAGTAGTGATTGCTAATGTCAAAGCAAATCTCCTTGTTTATTTATCATATTATTTCAGTTAAAACTAAGCCCTCTTTCTGCCTTGTGAGAAACCTTTACTTAGCAATAGGATCATGTCTGAATTTTACCGGGGCTTTCAGAGCATATTTGGGGCAGTGTGGTCTGGTGTGGGGGAAGGAGCAGAGCAGACTGAAGGTCAGACTTCCTGTGTCTGTCTTCAGGTCTGCTGCTGACACTCCTTGTTTCTAGCATGCTCTTCTCCCTGCCATGTACTTCAACTCCCTTGTTTGTAAAAATAAGTTTACTAACATGACAATTAGCTGTGAGTAAGACTTCCTTGGTGAAGAATTCAGGAGTTTGTGCTCATAATTTCCAAGTACAGAGTGTTATTATTATTTCATTCCCATTCGCAAATAACCTTGGGACTTCATGCTCAGTGCCACAAAGTCTTCCAAAACCTGTTTCCCTAGTCAGTGCACAGCTCTGAAGCCTGAAAGCAGATGGTTTTTACATGAGGCAGTGTAGATCTTGCTTGTGTAATTTAGGATAATTCTTGCCAACTTCAATCACACTGGAACAGGAACTTGGAGCCTCCACAGGCTGCCCTTCCTTATTAACAATGAAGCTAGTCACAATGCAAAATTTACTATGAAGATCTTTAGTTCCTTAATTGCTAAAATGCAAACAAGAAGCAAAGTGTAGGTTCTAACAGTTGGCATCTGCGTGCCTTGGGACAGGTTAAAAAAGTTCTACTAAACCAAATGGATTGGTAAATTTCTCCTAGCTCCTGTGTAATAGAGATGCAGCGAAACAGGAGGGATGCTCAATCCTGCCAATCTTCTGTCTTCAGTCTGGACACAAACGACACAATTCTTTCTACACAATTTCTTGATACATTTCTCCCTACAGTAGGAAAGGTTCAATTCCTATATCTTGGATGACAGAGGTGAGCTACAGGCAAACAGCCAAGCACAGGCACTTATGCTGTGTGCTTCTCCTGAAAGTCACAAACTCAGCTGCTGTAAAGAAACCTGCAGACTGGGACATTTGGAAGGAAGACACAGAGTCTTGGACTCATCTTCATCTGTATCCTCCAGCCAAAGAAAATACTGGCCTTGTGATATTCTGCAGCACTTGAGGGTAGTGAAGCTTGGAAGAGGAGCTGGTGTGGTGGTGGGTGGAAGAAGGGAATCATGGTTGGGCTTCTGCTGAAGGGGTAAACTGTGTGTACTGTGTGTCTATATCTGTGAGAGTAAGATTCTTGTTTGAGGCAAGCACCTTGATGAGCATTCAAAGAGTAAGTATTGCACTGTTTTAACTTTGCTTCAGGTCTGGGTAATGTGTATAAGGGTTGAAGTAAATGACTAATAACAGCGTGGGAAGGGTAGGCAGCCCCCTGATTCTTTACAGTCTAGAGGCATGGTTCCCCATAGAGTCCTGGTCATATTGTCCTCTTTCTCACTTTGTGTGTCTCAGGTGCCCCACGCCTTTTTTTGAAAAACTAACACTAGATCATTCATGCAATGTGTCATTTTTACTAACCAACTAATGTACTAACACCCTAACGACTCATCTTTGCTTTTAGTTATTTTAATTAACAATCGTTCTGTTCACGATTTTTTAATTTCCTTTCTTCCCCCTTTTCCGCAAAGCACTCAGGCATTGGACACGCTATGGTAAACAAACTACATTGTCTGGTAGATATCATTCTTATTGTCTCTTTTTTTGGGTTTGCCGTGTGTTACCTGCCTTTTCCTCCCCCTACCTGCTCTTTTTCCCCTCTCCTTTATACTTACCACTTCCTTTAATTTTATTCTAATTTCATTGAAAACACGTTGTTTTCTCCCCACCCCCTCTTTTTTTCCCCCCTTTCTTCTTTTTGAATAGAAAAATGAGCATCAAAAGCAACTAACACAGCTCTTCTGGAAATGGGGTTTGGACATTTCTTTCACTGTTTTCTTCACCTCTGTCTTTAGTTCTTCTTTTCCTTTCCATTGATAAATTGTTGGGGTTTTTTGTCCCTTGTTTTTGAGTTTAGATTTCTTTCTTTTGCTTTTGTTTTCATTTGGCTTTTTTACTTGGCTTTTTTTTTTTTGTTTTTTTTTTTTTTGTTTTTTTTTTTAAACTCTGAAGGTTTCTAGATCAGAACCATTGCAGGGCCTCTAGTCCGTGGTGGTGAAGGCTCTTTTTCTCTCACCCTTTTGTTGTGACAATGGCTATTACAGGCAAAGTGGCCAGAGTTTTCCTCTTTCTCCTGATTTTCCCCCACTTCCCTCCCTCTGCTTTCTCTCCTCCTCCCTCTTGCTCTGTCTCTCACTTTCTCTCTCTCTCTCTCTGACCTCCACCTGCGTGGCCAACAGGAGCTCAGCCGGTTGTTTGTTTCAGTACACACTCTGCATGGCATGTCCACGTCTGGTGACTCGCCCGTCTCCTCCTGGCCTCCATCTGTTTTCCTCCATCTTCCCTTGCAACCACTAACAACACCTAAGCAAAACACATAAAATTCACTTCCTCCTCTCCCACCCTTTCCTTCTGTCACCCTTCACCCTCCATGTGTTTGTGGTTAGAGAATTTGGGGACATTTCTGTTTCGTTTTGGTTTTTTTTGTTATTATGGAATTTGTTTGGTATTTTTATTTTTGATTGCATGCGAGTGTGAGATGATTTTCTCTCCTTTTTTTCTTCTCCGATTTTGCTTTTTTCCTGTTGTCTTTCTGGACCTCAGATATATTGGCATGACATATCAAAGTGCAGTGTGTGCACGCTTTGTATCCCTTTCTTTCTCATATCCACTTCTATCACATTTGTTGATGTGCAATTGATTTATTTTGATTTACTTTATTTCAGTTTATTTTCTGCTTATAATTTGGTTATGGATGAGTTTGTAAATTTTTTTTCTTTTTTTCCTTCTTTTTTCTGTTTTTTTTTCTTTTCTTGTTTGTTAGTAGTGGGTGGTGGGTGTGTGTCTCTCCAGGTACATGGCATGCACATCCATAATGTATAGACAGTGAGTTCTCTCTCCCCCTGTCCCTGAATGCATGATCGTCAGTGTGCCATGAGCAAAAGAAACTTAAAAAATAAAAAATACCAACCTCGTCTTCATTAGTGTTTTGTTTTTTTTACTAACAACCATAACTAACTATAATCATTAAAATAAATTCTAATTAATCATAAAATCAACTAATATGAGAAATGTCTTTCAAGGACAGTTATATTTTCTGGCCTGAATAGACAGAAAGCATCTGGATGGATAGGCTACTGGGTAAGCCTGAGAGTGCTGATGCACCAGAAAGGGGAGAAGCAGATGCTGAAGCATTTCTCTGCAGGAAAATCAGACCAGAAAATAGAGCTCAACTCACCAAAAAAAAAAAAAAAAAAAAGCATACCAAATCTCAACAAAATCCTTGATAAAACTGGCATAAAATTATAGGGGAGGTAAGTTGTTCTGTTCAGGACTGTAAGGTCATTGCTGGGATTTTCTTTGTCCATTGTGTCCCTCAAACAGGTGACAATCTCTGTGGATGGCATCCTTACCACCACGGGCTACACACAGGAGGACTACACCATGCTGGGCTCAGATGATTTCTTTTACGTGGGAGGGAGCCCCAGTACTGCTGATTTACCTGGGTCTCCAGTAAGCAATAACTTCATGGGCTGCCTCAAAGAGGTAACTATTTAAAATTAATTCTTGTCTCTGTGCTTTGATTTGTTAGAGTTATCACTCCTTCCTGCCTTACACAATCAATTCCTTCCCTGATGCCTAATTTTATACTGATCACTGCAACAGCTCTGTAAAGATAAACTTGTCATTCAACTGGTCAGAAGGCTGGAAAACTCGTGAACTTATGAAGGGCAGAATCATACTTCTAGAGCTTGGATTACAGAAAAAATGTTAATCGAAGTAGGAGAGGTGTTTTCTCTAAGATGTTAGCCCTTCAGAAGAAAGCATTACTATCTTCTAGGCACTTAGGCAATAGCCATTAGAAAAAAGACAAATGACCTTTGATTAGTAAGTTGCATTTTGAGATGAAAAAATCATAAGCAGAAGCTTATTTAGAATACTTTTTAAGGTGTCCTGGATTTCACCTGGGAGTGTAATTAGATCTGAATTTTCCAGGAAGATACAGAAATATAATAAAACAGAAAAATACAAGTTGAAAGTAGCATTAAAAAGTGTAAATTTTGCAAGGAGAATGCATGATCCAGGTGTAAGGGAGGTGTGGCAACCATGTGGCATGTGGGCATGAAGTGTACCCTGTGTTAAGAAATTATTACTGAGCGATGCCTCTCCCTGAATTAAAGTGCAAACAAAACCATATACTGAAGTCAATAGTACGGATTCTGCTGAACAGTGAAATGTGAGGTAGAGAGATAGAAAGAAGTAGAAAAGAGAGAGAAAACAGTCATCACCCATGCATCCAGTGACATCCCACTGGTCCTTCTTCCCCCTGGGCTTCTCAGTGGGGGGGCCTGAGGTCACTCAAAACTTTCCACTATTTATATATCTTTGCAAACAGAGGAATTAATGCTCATTGGTTACACTATCTTTTATTCTATTGGTTAAATGATTTCCTTGCTTCTAATGTTAATTAGTTTCATGCTCAGTCTTTCTGTTTCTTTTAGTTTCTTGAGGGTGAGTTTCTTGAATTGGTGGATTGTGAGTCAGTGGTCACAATCTCCCCCTGATGGAATTACTTTTTACCCAGTCCAGGCTAATTCAGCACAGGTGCTTTCTTTGTGGCCCATAATTTCTGAATTCTTTATGTCCATTATAAGTTATACATTCTCCCCTCACAGCTTTGTTTACCTCCCCCTAGGCTTGAGACGACACTTGGACAACAGAATCACCTCTATCTAATCTCAGGTTCCTGATCATGGTGGCTTAATTTCCAGGCCAAGTTCCTGGTATCCATGGAGGCATATTTGGGGAAGGGATTGAGAGATGGGGGGGTTCCCTCAGTGGCCATAGATGCAATTTGTGCCATAACTTGGGGTGATCTTTGTTAGGCCAATGATATGTGTGTGGGTTGCTTCTTCACAAAATTTGCCACAGTGGGAAGTTTTGTCTGGATGCATTACCAGCGTGTGCTGACCATATCTCACCTCTGCCTGGAGTCAGCACTATCCTATCACTCCATTCTGTGCTCATGTCATGGCAAAGTTATTCTGTGGCCTTAACAGTACTTGAGACAGGCAACTATGATCTTTAAGTCCTCACACTGAATTGCTAAGTCTGTGCACTTGAGTGGCTGCATTGGTCAAGAAGAGCTAGCTGGTTCTGAAAACTGTGTTGTCTTCCTCTGGCTGGCTGCACTTGGCACATAGTTAATCCACAGCACTGAGAAAATTCACACATGGGCAATAGAGATTGGACTGCCTGGCTAGCAGCAGGAACCAGAAAAGTGTTCCTTGGGAAAAAAACTCAAAACAACAACAACAACAACAAAATTTGGTACAGTTGAGTTTTGATGCTGGCTTGCGGTCATCTTTGTCTTCTTTCTTCTCTCTTCTAATGCAATTTGTGAATATCACTGTGATTAGCAGGGATACAGATATTGATGTCTTCAAAACGTGTTATAAAAAGCTTTTATACGAGTCATGGAAGCAGCAATGCTGAGCTAGATGTTGTTCTGTGGCTGTAATTGCCTTGACAAGTCATCATCCTACTGATGCTCAACTCGTGGTGTCAGGCTTTGTATGCTATGTGCCAGGCCTCTGATGTGAGGAAGAGTTGTGAGGGTCTGAAGCTGCTCTCCTGCCTGACCTCTGGAATAAAAGGGATGTACATGTGCTAGAGAAGAGCGTGTGAGCATCTTATATAGGATATGAAACTTTGCTGCTTGAATACAAACTGCCGTACAGAGATCAAATCCTTCTGGTTATATCTACAGAGCCTTGGGTCTGATTTTCCTAGGCGCTGAGCATCCCAGTTTGATTGAAATCAGGAGGAGATGCAGCTTCTTAGTGTCTCTTTAAATCAGGATCTTAATTTTATTTATGGATGCTATGATCATAACGCTTAGCAGAGGCCATTTTTATGTGTGCTCTAAGTCAAGCCAATGGAGCAAAGAAAGCAATGACAAGAAAATCTTCAGCAGCTTTATTATTTATATAATCATTTGTATTCTGTTAGCTTGCACAATGTGCTAAGAGCTGCCAACGTAGTCATCCCAGGCTCATAATGTTCTGTGAGAAGAAAAACCCAAGCAACCACTTATGAATGAGAGGAAGAAAACAGATAATCAGAATGTGCTTTATAATCTTCACTTGACTAGGCAATGACAGGAGATGTGTATGAGCAGATGTCTTGACTTGATGGCTGCTTTTGAGCTATAGTCTGCTTAAAAGCAACCCACTTACAGTAGTGGTCCAGTAATGCTTTCAGACAGCTTTGATCCTGGAGGAGGCAGAACCGGATTAATGCAGTGCTTGCATGCTTAAAATGAGTCTGGTTCCAGAACCAGCTACAGGGAACTTTACTTGGCTTTCTGTGCAGATTGTCAGCATATTTCATAATTCAGTCACTATAGCTTATGTTTTAAGCTTACATTTTTTTCCTCCATGGCCAAGAAGGCTGCTCAGTCTCTTATTAGCCAGTACTGGAGGAGCTTGGATTTTTAAAAAAATAATCTAAGCTAAGAAAGCTAGATGTGGGGGTAGGATAGACTACTAGCAAATACTGGGGGGTAGGGTAGACTAATAGCAAATACTGTTCCTTTCAGTTTATGCTTTCTAGTAGAGCAAAGCTCTTCTTTCATAGTAAAGTGCTGGCTATGTAATTGCCTGTTACCAGAGACACAGCACACCCCTGAGTGGATTACACTGTTTGTAATGGTGGAGAACATCCTGCCAAGCCCTGTACTGATCTTTTGAAGGCTTTAAAGCAGAATGGTCTCTGCATTCATTCAAGGTTGCCTCTAGTGATGTGTCACTTTCCTAGGAAGGTAAAGGGATTTCTGCAGACTCCGAGATGAAACCTTCAGCCTTTCCCCTGAAAGCTCTTGTATTTCATCTAGACCGAGTCATTCTGAGAGTACACCAACAAATTTGCTCATGTTGGGGGGCTCCTTGAGGGCTCCTTGAATGGCTCATTGCCTTCCCACTTCCCCTGAGATGACACGTAGGTGCTGCAGTGGCAGGGGGCAGAGTGCATGGTGACCATCTCTGCCCCTTGGCAGCAGGAAGGGATTTCTCCACTCAGCAGGGGCTGGTAGGAAGAGGAGAGGCAGCTCTGGCAGGGTAGATACTTCATGTGAGCAGAGTGTAAGCCTTGGCAGGAAGGAATTGGAGTATCTAAGAAAGTGTTCCTGACAAGGAACTAAGAGTCTCAGGGCTCCTCTGCTCTAGTATCTATATAATAATTCCCCAAATTAATCTAAATATCTAATTATCTAGATAATATTTTCTTTAGGTCAGACAATTTCTGACCTAATGGTACCTCCTTTCACCATGTGAATAGATTAATAGATCCTCATGTCTCTTCTTTCCTTTGGGGCTACAGGTTGTGACTGAACAAATTCCACTAAGTTGATAGCAGTAATATACCTAAATCTTAAATACACGTATTTAATGTGTAGTTCAGGTTGGGATTTTTCCTCTATTTTCATTGGAATTAAATATTTCCCTATGTGTGATGAACCACGTATTTCTCCATAGCTGTCCTGGCTGCATTGCAGTATATCTGACACTGTAATGAGGCAACGAGACTGGAAAATATCATGCAAGATATGCAAATAGGGTAGTAGACAGACATGAAATATGGACTTTGCATTGTACTTGCATAGAAGCTAAGGCTTTTTGGACCTTCATTCTTAAGATGAATCATTCTAGAGGAAATCTGGGGGGAAGCTGGTGTATTTCCTGTCATGGATGAAACCAGATATAGAGATGGGATGGGAGAAGGTACAGGAACACATCTTGAGACAATTGAGCAGAAATAATTTTAAAGGGTGTCAGGGAAGATGTGACAGTGCTTTAACAGATAGTGATTGTTAAAAAGGGAGAAGCACTGACTGAAGCTGGAAAGGGAAAAGGATCCATTAATGGGTTGAATGGCACTTGTATGGCCAGAAAGAAGAGGACAAGAAAGGTAAGAAGAGACAGCTGTGTTTTGCATGTAATCAAGGGCTTTAGGGAGGAGTTTTTAGTAATCAAGGATGGAGATGAAAAGTGGCAGGGTAGGAATTTAGCTGTGTGGGCAAAGAGGGGAAAATGGTATTTCAATATCCAGTTGCTAGGGAAGAGAATCAGAGTATTTCCTGGGGTTAGGGAGCCAACCATTCAGATTTGATTTACTTGGAGCAGGACTTAAATGGTACAGATGGAGGTGCTTTAGAAGAGCCTAAGGTGGTCTCTATAGAATGGATATTAATGAGAGAATTTATAAAATCTTCACATTTTTCTATCAATGCTTTATTAAAATCTCAATTCTGAAAAATGTTGATTGGTACTAACAGCTTGATGGAAGCAGTGAGGCTTGCATATGGGTGGAATATGGCAGAAATTATTACAGGGGTCAGGCACCATCTGGCTGCAATGGGAGAAAGCTGTGAAAGCTTAGATCATTTCTGTCTGCAATTTAACTTCTAGGAGCCAGATTTCGAAATGGTTCATGAGTATGCCCAGTTGCTATAAGTAAATCTCGGAGGGTATCTGCAAGCCAGGTCT